AGCACTGGACCACAACTACTTTTTCTCCCACTTCTTTTACATGGATGGTCATCTGGCGAGGATGCTGAGACGCACAAAGCTACCCTCAGAACAATAATACAGCCATCAAGCACACATTCCCCTTCAGGCATGTTCAAAGAAACGTAAGAATAAATAATGATTTGTATCCTGTGTTATTGCTTTGCCATCATGTGCGATCCTTATAACAGCTTTTGCAATGTTTTGAATGTGATATATCACAGTACCAGAGAGAGTAGCAAGCCTATGATCACAATGAGAATGTGCAATGAGGAACTCGGAGGTCATCTATTCTGACAAGTATGCCTCAAGCCGTGTGAAGCCTCAGGATTATGCACTTGGTTGGGCCTTGCTTTCTTTTAATAGTACTGTCATATTATAGGCCTTAATCCAAACCAAACCTTCAAACTACAAGCCAAATTGGGCATGAACCCTGCCAGAATATGTAAATATCCTGGTTCCTGTGGGGCTTTGAGTTACTTTTATTTCCAGTATTTGGCACATCTTTCTTTTAGATTAACAGCTGCCGTCAAGGTGCTATCACACAAGTAAACCGCCATTTTAAAAGGAGACAATGTCTTTTCAGCATCAAGATAATATATTAATCACATTTTGTTCCCCTCTATAACTCCTGTGAGCGTGTAGGGGGTCAAATATAATGGACAAAGACAGGAGGAGGATTGGGAGGGAGCAGAGGAAGGGGAGTTGATGGAACTGATAGAGGAAAAAGGCTGCTGAGACAGATGAGAGTGCAGCTGTCCCTGATGGAGGTCTGATAGCAGCCTTATCTCAAAGCCATGCTACTCACCTCCTGCTGCCAGTGTGTGTGTGTGTGTGTGTGTGAGAGAGGGAAAGAAAGGAAAAGAAAGATCCAGTGGGATTAAGTGTGCACATCTGAATGACCGAAAGCACAAATTTGTCATAGTTTGTGTGTTGGTGCATTTGGGCAGCAAGCAAATGTGTGTGTATGTGTGTGTGTGTGTGTGTGTGTGTGTGTGCACATGTGCATTAGCCTGAAAACAGATGCACAGGTACATGTTTGTGTATGTGTGTGTGTGCGAGTGTGTGTGTGCCATGCCCGCCAGTCCTCTCCTGCCCTCTTGAATAGGTCCCTTTGAGGGCGAGCCCTTTCAGAAAAGCCAGTCATACCTAGGAAGCCCACTGAGAGTGAAATGCCATCGATCAGGCGTGGGCCTGGACCGCGGGATCTTCTATAAAGCTCAGCCTCCTGGACTCAATTGCTCAACACGGTGTTTCTGTTTCCCTTTCTTGAAACTAACAAAAGGAAATGCCTCTGGAAACACACAGATGATGTGAAAGACCGCTCATAGTCTTGCTTTGACTTTTGTAATTTGATGTAAGGAACGTAAAAGGACTGCAAATGACTTTAACTTAAAATATTGTGCCTTTTAAAAATCCGTTATGAGTTAATGTAAAACCAAAGTGGTTACAAGTTTGGTTTTTTAAAAAGTTTGAAAAAGGATATGCAAGTTGATGATTTTGTTTTTATAGTAGTACAGAGCCGCGTCACCAACCACAGAAGTCAAATCTGTTAGCGTAGTTTGTAATTAGACGATTTATTCATTACAAATAATCTACACTTTGGGCCTACATTTGCCAAATTTGCATAATTTACCCGTCTTATCTCTTTTTTAAAAAGTAATTTGCAATTATTTTCTCTATTTTCCGGTTTTCACTAAACTCTAACTTCAAAATCTTTTTATAAATCTAAGCTGGTTTTTATAGCAGCCTTTTAATTTCTTTTTTAAACGGTCTAAAAACAAGACTTCTGTACAGTTACATCATACTCTTGAGCAACGGTTCCCACACGAGGGTCAAACAATACATGTGAGAGGTTGATGGAGGAATGAAGTGTGAGGACAGAAGATAAATATAAACTCTGGAACAGAAATGTGTATTATCTCCTTAAATTTTCAGATATATATATTCTTATATAAATGAGAGACTGAAAAGTTTGAAGGAGACTTGACTGGAATTGCTAATAACTTTATCGACGTCTAAAACCTGTGGTAAGGGATCCCAATTAGAAAGTTCTTCTTTGTGAGAGGTCACAAGCCAAAGAGGGTGGGAAGCAGGGCTCTACAGTTATTTCATTTTCAGTTTAATGGCATTGCCACGGTTATCTAAATTGACAAAAGATCAGGCCATACACCGATATGGTCAAGAAGTTTTGAAACCTGTCTCATTATTAAGTTGTGTTTGACTCCTGTCAGAGAAAAGCACTCAGTGTAAGTCTTGCAAAAGTCAGTGAACAAAAGCTGCGACAGAAAAGTCTCAAAGGGTTTTGAGTTTGACAAATAGCTTTATACTGAGTTCAGATTTGATAGAATACATTAAAGCCTAGACTCAGTATTAACTGTTTAAGGTGAGACAGATAAAACAAGGTACAGAAAATAATGCAAAATAGGGCCTTTTGACTGAATATATTCATTGTCACAGTGTCATTAATGGCATTATTTACACTTGTTCTTTTCCTGATGTAATAAGTGAAATGTCTGCAGTTAGAAAGACCTTTTTCAGGAAACAGATGAAGGTATTTGTTCGCTTGCCACATCTACAAACAGAGCACTCCTGTGACTGTTTACCCATACCGCTTTTCTATTTCCTGTAAAACAGACTCTTGTGCGTTTTGTTGCTACTTCCAAGGACACTTGGCTGCCCTGTGTCACATTTATGAATTGTGAAGTCTTGAGGGGAGCAAAAGTCAAAGGATGGTTTCATGGAAGAGTGGCGATTTCTAGCTCTGCTTCACAGCATCTGAACCATCACCTTCGTTTCCCCCTTTTCACAAACAGTCCTGTCTTTGTTTCTCAACCGTCCCATGTAGACGGAAAAAAGACACTAAAGCGTTGCACCATTGTGTCTGTAATTTTGAACACTAATTATGAATGTTTACTGCCACATCAGTGTAAACTATAGGGAGCTCTCCTCATTTTAATTTCTCAAAACAAAACTGGATAGTGAGCCAAAGAAAGCACACTCATAAGACTCTTTATTTGTTCAGTTAAGACAAGTGGACACAGTTTCACT